ACTCTCCTCTGAAAAAAGATCGCGGTAGAATCTCTTCTCTTCGTCAAGTCCCAGCAAAGTGCCGATCTTCTAGACCAGGTCGTCACTCACGTCAATGCGCGGGTTATGAACTGAAATGGAAATACCAACCTGTTAGCACAGGAAAAAAAAGCGTAATTAGGACAAGCCGCAGAATAGAAAAAAAATCATATGGCCGGAAATGAGCCGATGAACGGGTTTCGGGCTGCTTCAAGAGCTTGCCACGCGCCGGAGACCCAAACCACTTCGGCATATATTCGTGCAACGAGTCAGAAACCTTATAAATCAGCGATTTATTAACTCCTGGGGCAACTGAACTATATTAATTGCCGGTCACCCCAGATTTCTTAAAAACCATCAAACTCCTCACATCGTCACTTGTAGGGTCATCCCAACCCTGCTTCCGAAATAGGACGATTAAACCCATCAACGTGTAAATACGGTTGGCACCAGTTGGCTGGTTCCGATGCCGAGGCCACTCAGAATATCGCTCAGAATGCCAAGCAGGGAGAACCGGAGGCCGAGCTTGACGCTGTGGCGGTAGACCTCGATACTGCCCGGCGGAGGACAATGGATACGCTCGCCGGCGTAGGGAGCAAGGATTCGAACCTCGAGGCCGAAACTAACCTTGCCCCTCAGCCTATGCCAGGTCCACATCCCCCAAAATTGACGGGGTATTCCAGGCCATCATCGTAGACGGGGTCGCCAAAACGCGTGGGGGTCGGCGCCAACTCTCGGGAGGAGCACAGTTTGCAGCCTCAACTGCTGCATCGGTCTCAGAAACCTCACGACTCATAGGCATGCGCTCGCGACCGTGGGTGTCGCCCTGTAAAGTCTCGTCAACCAAGTCGAGATCGACGTCCGACCCATCACGGGAAGACACGTCATGAAAACTCACTCTTTCTCCCCCACCATCGGACTGGCTGGAGCCGAGGTCGATTATCTCGATAGTGGGGAACTTGGGAAGTTCCCCTCCGGTCCCATGCGGGGCCACCGCCGCGGCCGATGAGGTTATCCGAATAGCCGAAAGTGGAGTGACCTGCAGTGGTTGCGCCGTCTTCGCCGCCTGCAGAGAGTAAACCACTAGCTCTCCAGCCACCTCCGCCACTCGCCCTTCATTCTCGCCGGAGCGATTCGCCACAGAACCAGAAGAATTCGACATATCGAAAGAAAGAAAAGAGAGAAAAGTAATGAGGAAATTACCGAAGAAGGAAACCCTGAGTGCCGCTTTGCAAAGTGCCGTGAAAACTCTGAGAATCGACTTGATAAAGCTCTGAGAATTGCTCGCTCAAAATCATAGAAAAGGTGAAAATCTCGCAAGGAAGACGATGATTCCCATATATAAGAGTCTTCGACCAATCCCAATGGAACACGTAGCAAGCGTTTGAAATTTAAAAATCAAAAGCAAATCGGACGCACACGATCGATACAATCCAACGGTTTAGGAACAGTCGCGTGGGTGCCACGTGGTCCTGTAACCGCTGTTTGACAAAGTGGCAAGCCGCTTGACGGGCACGAACCAGACGACACCACGTGGAAAGGCCCTGGAACGACACGACTTTTTAGGGCCGACAATAAACATAACGACCATGTCGCATTAAATGACGCGTCGCTTCAGGTCACGTCATCAATGCGCGGAGGTGGAGAAAAAATCTTCGCAAGTTGAACGCAAGAACCGAACTGGCTGACAGACAAGCCGGGATAAAACTTGGCAAATTTGGGCCTAAGTATCAAGGTGACGACCTTGGACGAGACGCCGAGGACCTCCCATCCAAGCTCGGGGGCCTGTATGTTGACATCCGAGTTAGTCTACAAGAAGACCGCACGAAAGCGACCCTAAAAACTGGGCCGAGAACCCGATCCTACACACGAGTGTCGAGCTGAATTCCGAAATTAACTAACAAGCGTATCACTGGAACAATCTTTGAGGTCGGCACCTGGTCCTGCAGACACGAGGTGACCGTGTCACTAGACGCCGGGCTGGGGAAAGGCTCCTGAAGGCCTGCGAAAGATAAAAGTGTCTTAGAACCGACATGAACGTTCAGTGCGGCCAGCTCGGGGATGAGTGCTGGACTCGATAATAGTATAATATGCCACTTGGAAGATCATCATTGGCGATTGGATAGGCTGTCATAGCCTGACACCCTACTGGAATCTAGCCCGACAAAACCTGTCCAACATTAAATGCCCACCATGTGTGCATTAAATGCTAGACAGGTAATGATTAAGAAAACCTCAAATCCCATTAAAAAACTGTTAGGGAGGCGTCGGACTGCTCTGCAAGAACACTGTACGACAAGACCGGTGAACAGTACCTAAACAGTAGCACATTTAAGGATACTATAAATAGGAACCCTTGTCATTTATTTTGGGTTGTTGAATCCTCAACTAACATTCATCTCTCTCTCTCTAAGAATCTGTAATAAGTCCCTGTAATAATTCCAACTTTAACAAAAGTGCCAACCTCGTACGAGAGGTCGACCTCGTAATTATTTAATAAAATCATAATTAATCGTATTTCCCTTTCGTTTTCCTTATCCTACTTTCATTATACCTTATTTTAACCATTGGTCGGATCCATCCATCAACAATAAAATATTACTTTGAATGGATTGTTGTCAAAATAATGGGCATCATATAAGTAATTTTTAATTGTCCTATATTATAAATTTAACTCATTATCAAAGTAAATTTGATTTAAGGGATAGTGAGTAATTATTGACTTCATAGCAAAACAAAACTGTAGTGTATCAATAAGAATCCAAAAAATGAAAATTTTATGTTGCAATACTAATACTACAATTTATCAATTTACTCCACATATCTCATCAATATTTGTTCACCAAACGCGCTTTTAACTTGTATATGTACCCAACATTTGGTAGAGGATGGCTTAAGGAATAACTGATTGTATTTAAATTACAAAAAAAAAAATATTTAAATATATGAAATGTTGGTGCTATAATATATATTAAAGGAGTATCTTTATTTATATTGAAATTAATGGATAAATTTTATTTCCGTAATAAAATAAAAATTACCCAAAAATAAAACTAAAATATTTTTTAAATTCGAAATCAAAGCACTATTGCCGGGATTTTTTTTTTTTTAAAATAAAATTAAGTTTCGTAATTTTAAAAATTTCAGACGAAATTTTATTTTTTATTTCAGGTAAATACAAACTTTTTTATATAGATATAAATTTAGAATTTTTCAAAATATTTGGCGAGAACTATATTAAGGTACTTTAATATATTCCCCTAAGAAAAGCCTTATATTTGCCTAATCTATAATAATAGCAATTCATACATCAATCCTTAATAAAATAAATTAAAATAAAATAAAACTATATTATGCTAGATATTATGCAATATTTATTATTTACAAGAACAATTAAAGTACTTTTGTATATTCCTCTAAGAAAATCCTTATATTGATTTAATCTATACATAATATCAATCTATGCTATATCATGCCAATTTTTTAATTATCCTATAATAAAAAATACTATATATCTTATGCCAAATTTTTTATTATCCTATAATAAAAAAATACTATATTAAGCTATATCTTATGCCTAATTTTCTTTATTTAAAATGTAACATTTTCCATATTGGCAATGTCAAATAGATTTTTACCTATTTTAACCCTCTAATTAGTTACCGTGTGAGTGTGACACCCAAAAAGAGATGACAATTATATTCACAATTATTACCGCCATACGTGCACTTTATTAACTGCGGGTTAATTTGGCGATAATTAATTAATCACCATCTCCTCCTCCTTCAATTCCTATATATATATATAATGGAGCAGCTGCCTGCTCATGCTTTCAAGCCTTCTCCCTCAATTCAATTTCGCCCCCATAAACCCTACACAGTCACACACACACACACACACACACACACACACACACACACACTGTGTTTCTCTCTCTCTCTCTACACACAAAATCACGCACGCTTATCGGAACTGATTGTTCTCTCTCTCTCTCTCTCTCTCTCTCTCTTCGAAAACTCCAAAGGTAAAAGGGAAAAAAGGCGAGCAGATCTCACAATGCGTATGGCGATTTGCAGCTGAACCGTCGTCGCCTCTGGTCTTTTATGTCTCCCTCTGCATTTTTTTCTGCTTTCAATGCTCTGTCCACATGTTTACATGATCACAGTGTTTGTTTGTTTTTTTTTGGGATTTTTTTTCGCTAATTTGCTGTTCACGTTCTGCTTTATTGTTTGTTTTTTTTTTGTTATTTTCTCGATCTTCGTGGCGATGCATTAATTTTGAACGAAAAGGACCATTGTGCTTGGAGAGAAATTCGGCTATGGAGCTCGTTTCCCGAGATTTATCTTAAATCAGTGTCGGGGAGCTTTCCTCTATTGATGACTTAAATTCTCAGAAAATTTTTTCATTTGTCTGTTGTCGAGAACTTTATTTTCATCATCTACTGTTGTTTAACTGGGAAAACCATACTCGTCACTTCTCTTTTTCAAAGCCAAAACCCTAAGCCTCCAGCTGCTTTGCTCTTGCTTAGCATATTACATGACTGTGCCGTTGAAGCTCCGAGCAAATATTTATTTTCGTTTTTTTAATTTTTTCGGTACTGATTTGGGATTATTGATGTT